ATGAAGGCCGCTTGTGTTGTGGCTGAAACGTCGTGAGAATATTATTGTGTTATTTTATTTTATCAATTTATTATTTTAATCTCATTCTACGTGACTTTACCGAAAGAACCAAAGAAAATGAACGTGTCAGTAGCGCCTGTCGTTACTGATACGTGGACAAGTAGGCGTGAGAAACAAGCCGAATCACAGCGGCGGCATTGATAACATGGGGCAGCAGCAACTTTAGAGCGTTATCACTGAAGGCCGACAAGAGCGGTTGTGGGCCTTTATTGCAGCCCGCAATCCCTTTGGTTGTCAGTTTCAGTTTCGTTTATTTGGTATAGCCCTACTCTTTGGTTCTATTCGGTAAAGTCACGTAGGTAAGAAATAGAACCAGTCACGAAAGCTTCAAATCTAGAAATGGTATAGCCCTGTGAGCCATTCGTCTCTTGAATCGGGTGCAACCGCAACAAACAAAAACAAGAAACATCTTAAAGTGACTACGCGCAAACAGAAAGATCCAGGAAAAAAACAGCAAAGTCTTCCAGAAAAAGCACCGTACATACAACGCTGTGTGCAAAAATCCCAGTGGGATGCAAGTCAAACAATAACAACAACCATGAGACAATTTAGATTAAAGTTATCGGTCTAACTCTGTACTACAACAAACAAACAAACATGGCTAAACCAAAACGTTTTCGAAATCACCGAAATGAAGCTACAAAAGCAATGTAACAGTAATCATAGGGACTGTGATTGAAATTTTACAATAAACGATATACATAACGTGTACCACCAAACTCTGCAGCCATTGCTGGCTGCAAAGAAAGGGCAACTGGCACCCACCGAGTGCGTGCACTCCGGGTTAAGAACCACTGGCCTACAAGAGCCTTCATCCAGCCCTGCCAACTGCACTTGCCCCAACAGCCTGCTAGGGCTACACGGGGGGATCTTTTGTCTTTACTGTAGAAGACGTGCGCGTGACGTCACCACCGTTGCCCTCTGAGGGGGGGGGGGAGACGCGGTTGCTATGGTAACTGAATGGCGGTGTTCCCGAGGTTATTTAACGGAGATTAATTTCTCCTTCATTGACTTTTTATCGCTTCGAGACCATCCTGAGTGTGCGCTGCACGTGGGATCACCGCACGGATGTTGTTGTGAGACTCCTTTATAGAGGGCCGTCCATAAATGACGTCACGCGATTTTGGACGATTTTTTACCCCCCCCCCCACCCTTCGTCACACGACGTCACAAAAAGTCAGACCCCCCTGAAATATGACGTCACAACGCTCTGCCCCCCCCCCCCAAAAAAAAAAAACATTCTTCAAATCGCTTTAAACTATTGTCATTGTAGTGCGTATTTAATGTGGCGCTGCACTCTGATGTTGTCGAAGACAACATTTCTTTAAAAAAAGTTTATTTAATTAAGTAGAACGTGTTGTCTATATTCATTGAAAGTTGCACATTTTGATGTGACGTCACATTTCTCACCCCCCCCCCCCCCCTTCGTCACACATCGTCACAAATGTCTGACCCCCCCAGGTGCGTGACGTCATTTATGGACGGCCCCATACCCGTGGGTGTTGAGGAGATGCCGTACCACCTGTTCCATATATACTTTTAAATAATTACAGTATGCTGAGATAGAATAACATTTATATTTATTCTACAGGTGGTCTCCGGTTTCCGTCTGTCCGGTTTACGACGACCCACATTTACGACGACCCACAATGCCACAGTGGATCGATTTACAACTCAGAATCGTGCTGGCATCTGCCGGCACATATGAACGCAGTCGACTTTGGTTTCCGATGAGACTTGGCGAGGGGCTTTTGTTATTCTCGAGTGGTTTCTTTTTCGTGAATTTTCACCTACTTAAACCCTCTTAAATATTGCAGATTAAAAAAAAACAATGGCAAGTGACATCGCTACTGTTCCTACTATGATTTACGGATCGGCGGGTTTCCAGGAACGCATTGTCGTAAAAATGAAGACTGCCTTATTGAGATAATTTTCCTGCTATAAATGTACAAATGATAAGCCACTTTGTTTCATTTGTGGCCAGGTCGCTTCTGAAAATGGGGTTTGCCTGGTAGCGTGGGGATGGTATAGTGTTGTTTTTGTTTGTGTTTGGGTGATTTTTTTTTACCCTTCGTGCACTTTGCACTCCTATCGTGTTTTTGTAACTTTTTGTTGTAACGTTCTTACCCCGTGCCCCTACTGGACATCTGTGAAAAAGAGCTTCATAGCTCATCGGATTCCTCCTGCAGTATAAATAAATATTCTGATTCTGATTTGTCTATACAGTATTTGAATGTATTGGTGGCAAACCGGTGCGTGCTGTTAAGAAAATGTAGTAATTTTTTTGTATTTTCCCGCGATTCACAACCCCGCCAGAAAATATTGCGGTGTGGTGCTTGAAAATCAGTTCTCATTATGTCAAAGCAGTCGGAAGACGAATGTTTACATGAGCGGCTTAACACAAAACTTCACAGTTTGTTGCCGTATAGCAGCAGCCCAGTGGGATCATTTCTTGGCGGACAGCGGCATTGAAACATTACAACTCATGGTGTCGTCACTACCAACACGTTCGAATGGGAAAGCAGTGGCCGCTGAATCCAAGTGCAACTTCTGATGGGGGCCTCATCTTTACCTGGTGACTCAACCTCAGCAGTTCAGTCAGCGGCAACAGTGGCGGCTCAGGCATTATCTTCTGGTGGAGCATTAGCGACGGCTACCAGTGTATGTTCGAGCTTCATCGTCAGCTAAGGGGCCGTCCGTAAATGACGTCACGCACCTGGGGGGGGGGGGGGGTCAGACATTTGTGACGATGTGTGACGAGGTGGGGGGGGGGGGGTTTGAGAAATGTGACGTCACATCAAAATGCGCAACTTTAAATAAATATAGACAACACGTTCTACTTAATTAAATATACTTTTTGATAAATGTTTTCTCCTTACAACATCAGAGTGCAGCGCCACATTAAATACGCACTACAATGACAATAGTTTAAAGCGATTAGAAGCATGTTTTATATATTTTGGGGGGGCGGGGGCAGAGCTTTGTGACGTCATATTTAAGGGGGGGATCTGACTTTTTGTGACGCCGTGTGACAAAGGGGGGGGGGTCAAAAATCGTAAAAAAATCGCGTGACGTCATTTATGGACGGCTCCTAAAGAGTCAGCTGCAGTTCGATCATCCCAACCATATGCCTAGCCCTAACCCACTAAGTGACCCATAAACCTATCCCGAACCAGCTCATGTGCCGGTGCTAAGCTGATCATTACATTGTAAGCTAGCGGCAGGTGGCAGCAACTTGGGGAGGCCTTCACCCAGCAGTGAATAGACAATGGCTCCTAATTTTGATGAACCCAAAAACTACAAACCGTGTATGAGGGCCGGTGTGTTGCACTACATCGATGGTACTTTTAAAGCCTACTGGCTATCAACAAAGATTCGTTCATGAAGCCATCCATATATACAGACACAGAGACAATTAAACCGAGACTCAGCAATCATTGGAAAGATGTCATCAACCACGTTGGGTCATGACTTGACTTGTGTTTTCTTGTCAATCAACATCCACCGTCAGCAGTGTGGTGTGTGGAGCGGGGTGCAGGGATTTCTTGGCGGCCCTTTGCTGCATTGGCATTGCTGCTGCATTGGCATTGTTGCTGCATTGGCATTGTTGCTGCATTGGCATTGTTACTGCATTGGCATTCCTGCCCCGCCCATGCTGCTGGTGCTGCTGATACACTTGGGCTACGCCCATCCCCAGGCCTTCATAAACAGTTTGCCTTTAGAGGCTGACTCCTTTGCCTGATGACGACCGCTTGTGTTGCGATCGAAACATATTTTTATTCACTTTATTATTTTTCTATCTACGTGACTTTACCGAAAGAACCATAGAATAGGAAATAATATTTACTACCCACGAACAAAAACAAATTGTTACACAGTGAATTATTAATGAGTAACATTTAGTTACAAACACGAATAGGACTACGATGGGCAGGACCTGGACCGGTTCTTTAAATGAAATGGTGAATTGCCACATGAGGCGATGAGTCGGTAGAAAATTTCGGCTCGTAAGGCTTCGTAGATCCGAAGATATTAAAGCATCAAAAGATTCCAAAGAATATAAACAAGACTACACGCCAAGTTCAATGAAAGTGTAGTAGTAATATAAACAACACTACACGGCAAGTTCAATGAAAGTGTAGTAGTAGTAATATAAACAAGACTACACGGCAAGTTCAATGAAAGTGTAGTAGTAATATAATGACGGACGACCCTTCGTCTCCCTCTCCCCTCCTTCGTGCGGGCAGCGTCACGTCCACTGCTACGCCCATCCAGCTCGTATCAGATTTGGGGTCACCGCCAAGTCTCCCCCCCCCCCGGCTGACGGTGAATACATTAATAATTAACAATTCTAATGTATAATTCGCATTCCGTTCTCGGATCCCAATTAGCAATACACGAACAGCAGGAAACAAAAACAACCCAGGGGCAAACGACCAAACGAGAGACGGAAGGCCACTTTAGAGAGATGGGCACTCAAAGGAGACTTGAATCTACCGGCTCGCGATGCTGGGTTATCCCCCACCCAGTTTGGCGGCGTGACTCTCGCGCCTTGCACCAAGAAGAGCCTGGGTTCGAGTCCCACGACTCCGGATGCTGTTTTTGTCAGGCCTCTTTTATGTGCTATGAAGGGCTGTTGCTCGAAAAGTTGTCTATATTTTTTTTTCCCATTTAAGGGCACAAGTGTTTGTGACGGAACTTTTTTTTCCTCCTGTGATTGTGTACTCCTCCCTAGGCAGCATCGCCAGATGATTCGCTTTAAACTCGGTTCCCCATGTAGCCCTGTTTTATTGTGAGCACACCACCCGGTTCCTCGCTGTGACCGACTGCCCTCCCGTTATTACCACTGCGTGACCTGTGCCCATACAAAACCCATAATTATAATTTACAATCATCCACGCGCAATATTAACACTGGCACGGAATAACATGACATAGCAGACGAGGCTTTATTTGACTTTAATCCAAAGGGGAGTAGTAGGAGAGATGAAAGGTTGATTCGTGAGTGTGTGGTGTGCACAAGGTTTCATTCAGTGGTAAATGATTGTCTTCGAGTCCAGCGCGTTGGTGCCGTACGTGCGCATAACCTGCAAAAGAGTGGAAAGGCAGTAATTAATTGCAGACTCAATCCATTACCGCTCTCAGACATTGCTGTTATGTTTCTGGCTGCTTGACATTTTTAGGGGGGCCTGTGCCAAAGCTGAGCCTGAGCCCCAAGCACGGGCGGAGTTTGGGGGGGGGCAACACCCCCCCCCCCAAAACTGGACATCTGTATTAATTTATTTTCAGCATTTTTCGATTAAGATTAGAAATACATTATATGCACCCACCGTTCCTAATGTGTGAGACAAAGCATATAAACATGTGTAAACTCTCATGTATTTAACACTAGCTTTATTATTATATTCTTAGTTTTTTCTTCGGTAAAGTCACGTTGAAGAGAAACAACAAAATAATAAAATATATATAAAACAATAAAAAAAACTAGCTTTATTGCCCAGCTTCGCCCGAGGCTTGGATTTTTGTCTTGGATTAATACACGGCCTACCCGGAGGGTGGGGGGGGGTGCGTGACGTCAGCAGGCACACTGCGTAACGCTGCCGCATGCGGGTGACATAACAGATGTGCCGTCACCGTTCAATTGCCGTGCAAAATATATACATTATTGCGCCCCCTCCCCCCCAAAAAGTCTATTATACTTTTTGCATTGTGTACAGTCTGGAAGCTACCCACATGCCAAATTTCAAGTTTGTTGCATGTTCACACACCACACCAGTTACTCGTTTGAGGCTGAGTCGACCTAGGTGAGGCCCAGGACCGTTTCAAATAATCGTCACCGGTGGTGGCCGTGAGCGGGAATCGAACTCGGGTTGCCGGGTTCATAGTGCAGCGCGCTAATCACTACACTACCGCTCCCCCCACACACACACGCGCGCGTCCATAGGTATACATACACGTGCTTGCAGCAGACACACACAACTGTCAGGGTGCGTACGGCAGTAAACGACTGAAATAATAAAGCAATGGCGCGCGAAGAACGCCTTAGACCTGCAACACATTTGTATGGCAGTTTACTCGCGGAGGGTTGGGGGGGGGGGATGCGTGACGCTTCCGCATGCGGGTGACATGACAGATGTGATGTCACAGCTCACTTGCCGTGCAAAATATATGCATTATTGCGCCCCCCCTCCCCAAAAAAAATACAAAAGTTTATTTTTATACTTTTTGCATTGCGTACAGTCTGGAAGCTACCCACATGCCAAATTTCAAGTTTGTTTGCATGTCGGGAAGTATGCTAAATATTTCGAACAGATACACATATTCACAAATTTTCCTTTTATATACAGATGTATCAGTTGCATGTGTAGTGGAATAGCGCTGGCTGCTGGCAAAAAAGGGTAACTGCGGTGTATGGCAGTACCCCCGTCAGCAGGCCACGAGACACGAGGGGGACATCTCGTGGAACAGTAACAGAGGGGGGCCCATCGGGAAGCCTTGGAAACCCGCTAGTAGGTGCCAGAGAGGGGGCGTGGCCGGGGCGGAGCTGAGAAAAGTTGAGGGGCCCCTGTGTGGGACCTCGTGGCTGTTGCTGGAAGTGGGATCCACTTCGTGCTTTCAAGATCGTCGTTACCATCTCGTCGTCGCCATCGCTGCTGCTGCCGCCTTCACTCGACATTGCGCTGCTAGATAGTTGTTTGCTGTCTCCGTTCAGCACCGTCAGTGTTAGACGGTTAGTGTTGTTTATAGGCTAGCAACAGTGATGTGTACCCACGTAGGGTGTGTATTATCCCGATGGTGCTCGTTAAATAAAAGTGCCTCCAAGACATTTAATATACTTAGAGGACCGCAGGGCTTGGATGGGGCAAGTTGGTGGCGGCTCACCATCTGGCTGCTGCCTTCCAAATCTGCCAAATTAGAAAACGCCCTGCAAACGTCTCGATTAGGATTCACACAGCAGCAACCATCGCCCCCTACGGGCAGAGTTAATGCCCCAGGCCATTCTTGTATGCGAGATTCATCGTGGTTACTTTAGTTCTCACCTGGGCAAACTACATAATCATGAAACGTGCAAAAATCCCTGCTTGTCTCCGTGTGGCTCCTCGCACCTCTGGGTCGTTCTCTCACTCGCGCATCAAGAGCCGAGCGATTGTGCGGCAATCGACGCCTTACAAAGCTGACATTTATCATTTAAATTATTCCCATCATCATGCGTGGCACACCTCAATGCGCTAGCCATCTTACACGACTTTGGACTTGCGACACAATGACTCAGTGACTTGCCTCCGGCACAACTTGTGCCCGCAATTTCACTCCCCCCATTTTGCTTTTGTCTCGCGATCCGTTTTCTCCAACTACGTTTATCAATCACACTACAACCGGAGTTACGACAAACCTTAAGAGTGACTGCTGTGGTGGGATGGGGGAATGGATGGGGACGTCAGGGGGGGATGTCCAGGCGCAAGCCCTCCCAGTACCCTCCCGTTGCACTCACGTCGGCGATCCAGTCGTTGAACGCCGACACTCGGGTGAACACGGTGGGCTTGTTGATGTAGTTGCAGCCAAAGCCCGACACGAAGCTGGTGATGCCGTGCACCTCCCACTGGCCCTCAGCGTTCATGCAGTTCAGAGGCCCCCCAGAGTCGCCCTGCTCGAGGGTTCAGGGGAAGGGGGTCGCGACGGAGTTGGTGACTAATTAGCCGGGTGGCTCAGCCGCAGAGCGAGCGGCTCGCTCGTTGGAAGGTCGCGAGTTCAACTCGGGTCCGGCAGTCGATTTGGTTCATCAGCAAAATCGGAACGTTGAAATAGCCAAGCAAAAATGTGGAAAATTTGCCCACACACACGTGCGAAAGAACATCACCTTTGTTCACACCTGGGTGACGCTAGTTGTCGTGCCACAGTGGCTAGATGTTAACGACCTCGCTTGGTATACAGGAGGTCGTGGATTTGATCCCGACCCTGATCCCTGTATATTTATAATTTGCATGTTCTCCCCGTGGTCGCGTGGATTTTCTTACACATCCTCCGTTTTTTTCCCTCCACATTTAAAAACATGCATTTGGAGTACAGGGGGTGCCCGATTAACGTTGCCTCGATATGCGTTGTTTCGCACTCACGTCGCCGACTTTTTGAGGAACACAACGTCAAATTCCCCCCCATATATATGTCGCTTTTGACTCAGTTCAGCAAAGCCGAGTCGAAAACATTGCTCGTGGGTGCGTAGCGCGGTTAGCGCGCTGCGCTACGAACCCGGTGACCCGACTTGGATTCGCCGCTCACGGCCAACACCAGTGACGAATACCGTTTTCGATTGTTATTTTCGACTAGGCCAGGCTAAACTCTGCTCTGGGGGTGTATAGAGGTAATGTACAACTCACGCATGTTCCACCATCTTCTCAGTCCCATCGTATTCTCTCGCGTGCGTAGCTACAAGTGCTCATTGTCATCGGCGCGGACTTTGTCGCGAAATATTGTCGCAACCCTTCAACTCAACTCATTCACTCCTCAAGGTAAGATCATAAACATGATAGGTTGAGGTAAAATCTTTTTAAAATGCTATTTAAGATTCCTTGCTTTTTATACTAAAAGTGGTTTTCTGTTTGAGTCACTGTTTAAAAATGTCACAAATGTTTTCTATTAAAAAGGAAAACTTTTAAACTGTACTGCTTCGAAATGCTCATGAAAATGGTTTTCAATGAAGTGTTCGTTAAGTATTAATGCTGTTTAAAGGTTTTTGAACTAATTGGTTATATAAATGTGTACATTGTGTTGTACAGTATAGTACAAGTACAGTACATGTACTGTACTATTTTGTTTGCTAGGTATGAAACATTTCCCTAAGTCACGGTCCCTATTCCGACCTTGTTCCATTGTTTTTGGGAGAAATTGTCCCACTTTGCGTCGCATAGGCAATGTTTACGCTCTTACGGTCCCTATCCCCCACCATTAACATGTATTCCTATGGGGGGAAATTCCCCGTTATATAGCTTTTCGTTATAAGTCGCAACATTCTGGTCCCTAGCCCTGGCATATATATCGGAGATCCCCCTGTATTTGGCTGCTATAAGTGTCCACATGATAAGCCACTTCGTTGAGCTATCATTTGTGATAGGCAGGTCGCTTCTGAAAAAAAGCTATATAGGTCAGTGGGGCCTTACCTGGTACAATTAAAAATGAGTTTAAGAACTAAAATAGTTTAGTTTAGTAATCCCCAGCGAAAGCATCAGTAACAATATTTGACGCTGATAAACCAAATCGATTGGGGCAGGTTTAGCCCATGACGTGACAGCTTCATTTGATTCTGTCATCGGGTGCTAGAAACGGTTATACAGCAGTCACAACAATTGCCATCCTGTCTACGCGACGATCTGACCAAACAAATTATGAATGGGTCAGTAACTCTGAACGTTTGTCATCGTGCACTGTTATGAGTCCATTTATCGCGGACAACAACAATCCAATCCCCAAGATCTCCCGCCGGTCAAACGGTTCCGGCTCTTGGGACCGGTGACCCCTTCCAGTGAAACCACACTGGCCGTATTCGCCTGCATGAGGTTTATGTACTGGCAGCAGTGGCAGCGTCTCCATCGATGTTGTTTTGCGAGGTTCCGTCGTGACCCGCGTCGATCGCTCGGCGAGAGGGGACGCAGCGCGCTAACGATGCAGACCCTTTGGGAGACGAGAAGGCGCAGTTTATAACATCGGTCGCGGCATCGTCATCGCATTGGGCCGCAGAAGCCTACGTACGGCCTGTTCTCCTGTAACGCAGCGCAGTTTTCATGACGCTAAATGAATGTGAATGTGTTAGGGAACACATTTTTTTGATAACGCGGTCTGCGAATTGGATGTAACGCGATTGAGTGAACGGAAGGAATACGCGCTTGTGCGGCTGCCTCGGCATAGCATCACACAGGATGGGATGCTGCTGGATGCTTACAGATGCTACCCACGCGCCTCAGTTTTTGTCTGGCCTGCGTACGCATCTCACGTGTTATCGCGGACTGTGCTTTACCTCTATATTTTATATATTATTATTTGTAATTCCACGATTTATCCATAACGCGGTGTTCTTCTGGAACACAACTACCACGGCATTGCAGGAGACCAGAATCCATATGACTGCACGTCTATTGTGTGGGGAGGGCGGGAGGGGTGCTGATTGTCTTTGCGCCGTGTGTCCCCGTACGTTGCAGCCAGAGTCGTAGCCATCCCCGCCGGCGCAGACCATCGTTTCGCGGATGTTGAACCACCACCACGCGGGCTTGCTGCAGGTCTCATAGTCCACCACGGGCAGGTTCGCCTGTTGCAGCGCGTCCGGGAGGTCCCCCCCGGCTACGGCGGACAGAGCGAGAGGGAGACAGAGAGAGAGAGAGGAGCGGGAGAAGGGCACGGGGAGACGGACGGGCGGACACAGGTGAGATGATGGTGGTGTGGCAGAGATAGGGAGACAGAGACAGTGAGTGTGAAAGTGTAGTTGTGTTGGGGAAGTCGATGGGCGAGTGAATGGTTAAGTGAGTGATTTGGTGGGTGAGTGAGTGGTTGGGGGATTGTGTAAGTGGCTGTCTTGATTGGGTGAACGATTTGGTTGAGTGATCTGTCGGGTGAGTGATTATATGGGTGAGCGGTTGGGTGAGCGAGCGCGTCTCCTCACTGACGAGACGGCCCCAGCCCGTGATGTAGCAGGGGTAGTCGTGGAGCAGCACCAGCCCAGCGGGGGGCAGGCAGGATGGCTGGATCTTGTCGCTCGGGGTCACAGGCTGCGCCAGACGGATCAGCGCGATGTCATTGCTGGCCACAAGATCATGATCAAAGGTCACAGACAAAGGTTACGGCCAGAAGTCACTGTCAAAGGTCAGGACATCACAAACAGAATGTCGTTTGTGTGAATGTGTGCGCACACGAGTAGGTGACGAGTTATCATGACTGGTAGGGTTTGTTGTTTTATTTTGTTCATGCCTCGGCTTATGAGAGCTCGGATAGCTGCATCAATTTACGGCGTCAAATTGGTGACTCTCCACGTGTTTAGTGAGTGAGCCAGCAAGCGAGTGAGATTATAAGTGAATGTGTGTATAAGTGCGTGTTTATTATTTGTGAGCGACTAGGTGAGTAGTTAGGTGGGTGTTTCATAGAGTGGTTACACGAGTGAGTGCCCGAGCGTGCGGGCGTGTGAGTAGTGAGTGTGCGGACGGGCGAGCCAGGCCGACTCACCCTCCGGCCACGTTATTTCCGTTCCAGCCGCTGTGGACGAGGATAGTGGACACGTCAGAGAAGAGAGATCCTTCGTCCTGCACGCTCAGCAGGTGCTTGCCCAGACCGACGCGGTACGTGCGCGAGCTGTCACATCCGAGTCACACAGATACACACATCCGAGTCACACAGATACACACATCCGAGTCACACAGATACACACATCCGAGTCACACAGATACACACATCCGAGTCACACAGATACACACAGATACACACATCCGAGTCACACAGATACACACATCGGAAGTCACACAGATACACACATCCGAGTCACACAGATACACACATCCGAGTCACACAGATACACACATCCGAGTCACACAGATACACACATCCGATACACACAGATACACACATCCGAGTCACACAGATACACACAGATACACACATCCGAGTCACACAGATACACACATCCGAGTCACACAGATACACACATCGGAAGTCACACAGATACACACATCCGAGTCACACAGATACACACATCCGAGTCACACAGATACACACATCGGAGTCACACAGATACACACATAGGAGTCACACAGATACAGAGAGAAACACACAGATACATATATCCCCCCCTCCCCCAATAGCCTTAACAGACTGTAGGGGCAAGTGTTGTTAGCGAGAGCCTATGAAGGCTGGCACAGCACACGAGGGGGTAAGGTGGCCAGCACCACGCCCGGGCCACCTTTGTCTCCCCAGCGGCGATGTTTACTACACACCGCACCGGGTACTCATTTGAGGCTCAGTCGACCGAGGGGAGGCTCAGGACCGGTTCAGATAATCGTCACTGGTGTTGGCCGTGAGCGGGAATTGAACACAGGTTCATAGCGCAATGTAGCGCTAACCGCTACACGACCGCTCCCCACAGACACGCACACACACACGTAGAGAGTCACACACGGAGTCACGCGAGAGATACACACAGCAGAGAGAGAGACGTGCACAGACACACACTCCAAGGGATGTTGATGCTGGTGATGATGACGAGGTGGTAATGAGGTGGTGGTGGAACTCACGAGATGCAGTGGGCCGCCGTGAGCACCCACTGGGGGTCGATCAGGGTCCCACCGCACGTGTGGTACCAGGACCCGCTAGACAGGTACTGCAGGGAGATCTACAGCAAACACAACCACAACAAACCACCTCAACCACAACCACCACAACCATAATCTCATCAAAATGTAATAAGTGGCTCCGACACGGTAAGAACTTTACGTTGTTTATTAATAAATCTTCGGGACAGTTTGGTCGTCTCTCTCACTCTCACTGCGGATGTTACGCCGCCCAGGCGGCTTCGCTGCCCAGCGCCACGTGGCGCTCACCCCGCTCGCTAACGCGCTGCCGACTGACAGCGCGCCGGGGAGCGGCTGAGCGGTTGGAGGTCGAGCCGCCACGTGGCCGATGAATATGGCGGGGCAGCAGCGACGGGAAGCTCCTCTTGGTCTTCAACACCAACCCCGCACCTTGCCCCGGCCCCCGCTTATATGCGCTCCCCGGTGGCTAAGCCCCGCCTCTGGCCACGCCCCTCCTGGAACTTTCGGGAACGCTCCAGAGGTTTCCCGGGTGGATCCGCCCCCCCCCCCTATGCTCCAGATATAAACTCTACCATAGAAAAACCATAACTGCATAACAAGTAACGCCCCAGATTACACAGGAGATGGCGCTCTCATTACAAAAGTACACCAACAAAACACAACCACAGTCGCATCAACCACCACAACCACCGCGACCACATCAACCACCACAACCACATAAACCACCACATCAACCACCACAACAACCACATCAACCACCACAACCACATCAACCACCACAACCACATCAACCAGCATAACCACATCAACCACCACAACCACATCAATCACCACAATCACATCAACCACAACCAAATCAACCACCATAACCACATCAACCACCATAACCACATCAACCACCATAACCACATCAATCACCACAACCACATCAACCACCACAACCACATCAACCACCACAACCACATCAACCACCATAACCACATCAATCACCATAACCACATCAACCACCACATCAATCACCATAACCACATCAACCACCACATCAACCACCACAACCACATCAACCACCACAACCACATCAACCACCATAACCACATCAACCACCACATCAACCACCACAACCACATCAACCACCACATCAACCACCACAACCACATCAACTACCACAACCACATCAACCAGCACAACCACATTAACCACCACATCAACCACCACAACCACATCAACCACCACAACAACTACCATAACCACATCAACCACAACAACCACCACAACCACATCAACCACCACAACAACCATATTCACATCACTCACTACCACATCAACCACAACAACCACAGCGACCACTTTCACATCACTCACGACCACAACTAGCACAACAATCACAACAACCACGTTCACATAAACCACAGCTACACCAACAAAAGCACAGGCACATCAACAACAACAACGGTGGCCACAAAGCAACATGCACTACACGTAAACACACATCCACTTGGACATATAAAACTCCACATGCACACGTACAGGGCGTGCTGGATGAGGACCACTCACTTGGACACAAAGATAAATACCCCCCGTATAGCCTTTAACAGACTGTTGGGGCAAGTGCTGTTAGCAAGCACCTATGAAGGCCGGAATGGTACACGAGGTGGTGGGTGGGTGTCCAGCACCACGCCCGGCCGCCTTTGTCTCCCCCAGTGGCGATGCTTACCGCAGCAGGTACTCATTTGAGGCTGAGTCGACCTAGAGGAGGCCCAGGACCGGTGTTGGTGGCCGTGAGCGGGAATCAAACTCCGGTCGCCGGGTTCGTAGCGCAGCGCGCTAACCGCTACACCACCGCTCCCCACAAATAAACACTAACAAACGTATGTACTATGTATAGTGACATCGGGGATGTCACTGTATGGTGCCGGCCTGGGAGGGCCGTGACGTGTGTGTAGTACCAGCCCCAGCAGGGGCTTGGTGAGCACTGGGATAGCGCGGGCACCACGCACGTCGTGCAGTGCGGACTCCCACAAGGGGGAGTGGGAGAGTGTCAGCCCAGGGGGAGGGTTGCCCCGGGCCATGGCACTCTGGTTGACCCCGTAGAGAACGTTAACCCGGAGTGTCCACAGAGGGGGCCCCAGGTGGGGGGGCTAGGGGGTGATCATGTGTCCGGGGAGAGCTCTCGAGAGGGATTGGCGGAGCCGGCCCCGACCCGGGAGGATAAAAGGTGGGTCCCTGAGAGGGACCGGGATCGCTTCGTTCTACAAGCTGGAAGCTCTACGTTCTAAGTGCTACGTCTGAAGAGGCACCAACACGTGGCCGGGGAACTGAGTGAGGGTCCGACCCATCATAGCCGTAACTCCTATGTAAAGTGTAGTTAGCTGGGTGGTCACCACCCTAGGCTGTTTCTGGTAAAGGGGGGGGCAGTTACCCCTTTTGTATAAACGTGTTGCGAATGAAAGTGTTGCCTCTGAAGAATAACGTCTGCGACTCAGTTGGACTCACTACACATGTATATATAGGGACAGTGTGGCATCTGTTGACCATGGGGGCTAACTATGGGTTTGGGTGCGCGATACAACGGCCAACCATAAGGGGAGTGTAACTGGGCAGGGGGTCAAGGCGGGGATCAATCGGGAAGCTCCTGCAACCAGCAGGAAAGTTCCAGAAGTGGGGCGTGGCCAGAGGGGGGAGCTTGGCCACGCTGGGGGACATGTAAGGGAGAGGCAGCCAGGGGTTCGGGGCTATCATGGGGGTTTGGGGCCTGGCTGCCGTCACTGTCGTCTCTTTATCGTCGCTGCCGCTGCATAGCTGATCCGCTGTATGGTCCTCATCGTTGTCGCCGCTATATAGTCAGACAGCTATATAGTTGTACGTCGCCGATGTGGACGTATGGGTGGATCAGCTATATGTAGCCCAGCGTGTATGTTACTCAGTGACCCTGTCCGTAAAAGTGTCGAGAAAAAAAAACAAGGGACCCTCTAAAAGTTGTCTCGGGAGTCGCCTCATTACATATTTAACACACGGAGAATACGTCACCACGTGTAAGCATTCATGGCTCGTGGAGCCAGGCCGAGGCACGCACCTGCCAGGGCCAGCTGTTGGGTCTCGCGTCCACCCCATTGACCACGCGGCTCTCGATGGGAGGGTAACTGGGCACTCCGCAGCCCCGGGCGGTCGCTGTGCAGAGACACGGGGACGCCAGGGAGACACGGGGGAGACGTGAGGGGGGCAGGGGCAAGACAAGGGGAGACACAGGTGCAATGTAGGGGAGATGTGAGGAGACACGGGGAGACACGTGTAAACATGAGGAGACAAGGGGACACACTGGTGGACCATGGGGAGACACGTGGAGACATGGGGAGACATTAGGGAGACACGTGGAGACAGGGAGAGACATGAAGGAGACATGAGGGAGACACGAGACAGGGGGAGACAAGAGGGAGACATGAGTAGACATGAGGGAGACACGAGGAGACACGAGGAGACAGGGGGAGACAAGAGGGAGACAAGAGGGAGACATGAGGGAGACACGAGGAGACAGGGGGAGACATGAGACAGGGGGAGACACGAGGACACATGAGGGAGACGAGGGAGACAAGAGGGAGACATGAGGAAGACACGAGGAGACAGGGGGAGACATGAGGGAGACACGAGGAGACACGAGGAGACAGGCGGAGACATGAGGGAGACACGAGTAGACATGAGGGAGACACGAGGAGACACGAGGAGACAGGGGGAGACAAGAGGGAGACAAGAGGGAGACATGAGAGAGACACGAGGAGACAGGCGGAGACAAGAGGGAGACACGAGTTGACATGAGGGAGACACGAGGAGACACGAGGAGACAGGGGGAGACAAGAGGGAGACACGAGGAGACAGGGGGAGACGAGGAGACAGGAGGAGACACGAGGGAGACACGAGGAGCCAGGGGGAGACATGAGGGAGACAAGAGGGAGACATGAGGGAGACACGGGGAGACATGAGGGAGACAGAGGAGACATGAGGGAGACAGGGGAGACATGAGGGAGACAGGGGGAGACATGAGGGAGACACGAGGAGCCAGGGGGAGACATGAGGGAGACACGAGGAGACAGGGGGAGACATGAGGGAGACACGAGGAGACAGGGGAGACATGAGGGAGACACGAGGAGCCAGGGAGAGACAAGAGGGAGACACGAGGAGACAGGGGGAGACAAGAGGGAGACACGAGGAGACAGGGGGAGACATGAGGGAGACACGAGGAGACAGGGGGAGACAAGAGGGAGACACGAGGAGCCAGGGAGAGACATGAGGAGACAGGGAGAGACATGAGGGAGACACGAGGAGACAAGGGGAGACACCCTATGAGACTGAGAGTTATGGAGGAAGCATGGTAAAGGGTTGCTGCTCCTATTGATTATATATAATTATAATACGCCTTGCTATAATGATGATTGTGGTAATGATGATACTACTGCCACTGATGATATTGTTAATGCTGCTGATTATGACGGTGATAATATTCCCGTTTCTGATGAAGATGACCCAAAATGTTCGTGATGGTAATGATGTTAAAATGTATAACTGTTATTATTATGATGACGATGATGACGACGATGATGATGACACCCACCCTGCACCAGGAGGAACACGGATGCGATCAGGGCGAGCATCTTGTCCGAGTCTCGTCCCAAGTCGGTGAGTTCCTCCCCCTTTATGGACCCTGTGAGGAAGAGGGTGGAGGAGAGAAGAGGTGGGGGTGACTCAACACCAGCCATCACCACCCCCCACCCCTCACCACCCCCCACCCCTCACCACCCCTCACCCCTCACCACCCCTCACCCCTCACCACCTCCACCCCTCACCACCCCTCACCACCTCTCACCCCTCACCCCTCACCACCTCTCACCCCTCACCACCTCCACCCCTCACCACCCCTCACCACCTCTCACCCCTCACCCCTCACCCCTCACCACCTCCACCCCTCACCACCCCTCACCACCTCTCACCCCTCACCCCTCACCACCTCTCACCCCTCACCCCTCACCCCTCACCACCTCCACCCCTCACCACCTCTCACCCCTCACCACCCCTCACCCCTCACCACCTCCACCCCTCACCACCCCTCACCACCCCTCACCCCTCACCACCCCTCACCACCCCCCACCCCTCACCACCTCTCACCCCTCACCCCTCACCACCTCTCACCCCTCACCACCTCCACCCCTCACCACCCTTCACCACCTCCACCCCTCACCACCTCCACCCCTCACCACCTCCACCCCTCACCACCCCTCACCACCTCCACCCCTCACCACCCTTCACCACCTCCACCCCTCACCACCTCCACCCCTCACCACCTCCACCCCTCACCACCCCTCACCACCTCCACCCCTCACCACCCCTCACCACCTCCACCCCTCACCACCCCTCACCACCTCCACCCCTCACCACCTCCACCCCTCACCACCTCCACCCCTTACCACCTCCACCCCTCACCACCTCCACCCCTCACCACCCCGACTTCCTCACCTTTCTCACGACCTCCAGCGATAAAGTCCTTAACTCTTTTTCACGAAGGTGATGGTGCCGATGGTGTTGGTGGTCTTGATGGTGGTGATGACGGTGGTGGTGGTGATGATGACGGTGTTGATGCCAATGATTGCGATGTTCAACGTCCCGTACCCCCTCGCGCTCACGACTCCAGCTGCCGCGTTTCCCTGGGGCTTGGGCCAACGTAAGGGTCCACAAACATAGGTGGGGAGATAAGCCTCGGGCACACAACAGTTATTGCCCTGTAAAGGATGCAGTGTTGGGTCAGCGCGTGCAATGTGGGTGGAATTGCTTGACCAATGTTGGCGCATCGCTCAACGTTTACTGGGTACATCGCTCGCCATTGGCTCTCAACGCATCAACAGACACACGTGCTGCACGAGTCTTGCTCTCTCACGACCTTGATAAGCATCGTAATTATTAGCGCAGAGTCATCAAGTACGGCCGCCACAGGAGGGTCCCAGCGTTGGGATGTTTTGGCCAGCACTGCTTGTACGTTGCGTGTGAGGAAGCGGGTGAACGCGGAGACAGGCTAAGCCGAACAGGCGGAGATAATACAAACCGCACACTCAGGGCGTATTATCCAAGAGGCATAGTAGGCCTTTAGTTTTAGTAGGCCCTAGACACAGTAGGCACGAAAACCATGGGTGGCAAGGCGAGGTTTGAAACAATTAGCTTTGATAAGGTTTAAATAAAATAAAAAAAACCTCAATATCCCGAAGGGCCAGTTAGGGTGAGGTTTTCAGGTTTATTATGAAAAGACGCCATTTCGGGTTTTTGCAGGAAGCCTGACTGAAGTAACGGACTGCGGAAGCCCGGTGCCCGGAAATCAGAAATCTTGGCATTACCTGAGTTACTAGCGTCATCACACGAACCCAATTTCCACCGCGAGCAGGATCATGGATCAGGACCTAAATGAGGATTTACTCGATTCCGAAGAATATGATAATGATGTCGTAATTGTGATGGAGAAGAATGGAGTGGCCGACGAGGAGAAGAATGGAGTGGCCGACGAGGCGTCGGCGAACGCAGGGAAGGCCAGAGGACACTCGATGGGCCAGTTTTGGCGCTCCTTCACCGATGATCTGGAACCGCACAAGTTGAAGAGTGCCGTCTGCAAACATTGTCGCGCCAAATTCAACCATCACAAGACGAGTGAGCAGGCGATGAGGCACCCAAATGCATGCGCCGCTTTTCGGAGGGCAATGAATGGCACCGAGATAGATGATCGTCCCGAGTGGTATGCGTTGAACAAAAAGCGGGCGAAGTCATCGAAGGCAAGCGGCAGCTCAATTCCATCTGCATCAAATGCTTCGTCGATGAAGCAAGAATCGATCAAAGATCACCTAATACCCAAGCTCGATAAGCGAACCAAGGAGAAGTTCAAGCAGGCCATAGCAATGCATTACTTTGTCTCGGGCACGTCGTTCCAGCGGGTCTAGCAGGAGAACCTGGTGATCACTGTGAAAGCCCTTCGCCCAGATGCAGTGCTGCTGAACAGGAAGAGGCTGGCCGGACCATTGCTCGACAGGGCGTACATCGACATGAAGAAGAAGGTTGACACCGTCCTGGACAATAAGACCATTTGCCTGACATCTGATGCGTGGTCAAAAATCAAGAATGATTCGATTGTCAACTACATGGTCACATCGCCGTCCACAACATTGTTTCTCAAGTCGGTGTCCACTGGAGAGCAGGGTCTCAACGCTGACTGGATCGCCTCGGATCTTCAACGTGTGATGGCGTCCAATCCGAAAACTACATTCGCTGGCGCGGTCACCGACAATACATCCACCAACAAGAATGCGTGGAAACAGCTCTCGAAGGCTCACCCATCGTCCTATTTCCAAGGCTGTACGTCGCATGGTCTGCATTTGCTTGTCAAGGACATATTCTCTGCCACGAAGACGAGGAAAGCCAGCCAATCAGAACACACATACCCGATCGACTGTCCATTCGAGTACCTGCTTGAATTCATCGTGGGGTGCAAGGACACGGTCAAATTGTTTCACAGCAGTCATGTTCTCAAGGCACAGCTGCAGGCTGAACAGAAGATTGCTGGCGTTCGAGCATTGGTCCGACCGGCTCCTACACGTTGGGGAATGATCAAAGGCTGTTGCAAGACGCTGTTGTCGTCGGAGAGGATTCTGCATTCCATTGTCACAGCTCGCAACTTCATCAAGGGGACGGCAGCTCAGAAATCCGAGCGCATGTGAATCAAGACCATCATTATGAGCGACGACTTCGTCTCTCTGTTGCAGAAGTCCCTTGCCATTCTCACGCCCATCGACCCATTGTCAAATATCAATCCGATTCCGTACCAGTCTCTGAAGTCTTGCCGGATTTTCACGCCTTCCCCACTGAGTTTGCCAAGCAGCACAAAGACGGTCATGCGAGCACTGAAAAGATCAACTACCTGATCAAGTTGGCAGCAAGTCGCTTTCAGCTCATGTACGGAAAGGCCCATGGACTGGCGTATCTGTTAGATCCTCGCTTCATTGGAGAGAGCTTGAGCCCGGCTAATCGAAAAGAGCTGGAGAACATCTTACTGGAGACACCGATCGACGATGAGATGGCGGTTGATGACGAGAGGCGAGAGACGCTCTTTATGCAGCTCATCGAGTACGTCATTTCGGCGCAGCAGAAGGATGCCGGCGGCTTCATTATGCTGCTCAAGGGACGTAAGACACCTTTGCAGTATTGGCAGTCTGACGGCATAGCCTGGCGCGATCTTCAGAAAATCGACGTCAAGCTGTTCACGACGGCGACATCCTCTGCAGCCTCGGAGCGCAACTTCTCAACTATGGGCTTCATACACAGCAAGCTCAGGAAGAGCTTGGCGCCCAGTTCTGTGGAGAAGTTGGTCTACCTCAAGAGCAACTATGCGGCATTCGCCGAATGCAGTTATATGTCCGATGACATGGACTCGTCGGAGGACTAGTACTGATCTGCAAAAATATTGCGAATAAAACCACGAGGTGTATTAGGTTAATTAAGGCTTATTAAGGTTTGAACCTTAAACCTCAAATTCGGATCCGAAAAATTTTAAGTTTATTCCACCCCTGATGAAAACTAAAGGGACAATGACAACTTTTCTACCACGTTTTTTTGTTTGATTAAAAATGTAACCAAGATGTCTTCTTGAATAAATATATTTATATGGCTGCTCGTTGCAATGTCTTTGCAGTGGTAACAAGTCGTTGACTGGTAAGCGAGGCATATTACACTCTAAAATAACAGTAAAACAACATGGCGCTTGCCACGTGGTCGTCCTGCCAGAACATTGAATTTGTTATCGATGAAAATGAATAGCATCCTTTTAAAGCTGCGTCATCCGATACAATAATTATCAGAGTACAAAATAGTTGAAGAAAATTTCACTTATCATATATTTAGGCTTACCTTGGTTTTTTTTCTTGAATTATTTTAAATTAAGTGTGCTTATCTGCGGCACACAGCGCGCTCCCATCGAATGAGGGCACGTACTAAATAATGAATGTATCGGTAACGACGTCTGTCCAGCGGCTGAACAAAGTACCGCGTGAAACAAGCAAAATTACAGCGGCGGTAATGACATGGGGCAGTAGCAGTACCAACTCTAGAGTTATCATTGAAGGTCTACGAAATAGAAGTGCCTAGGGCCTACAAGAACCTTCATCCTACCCTGCAGTCACACTGCAGAACAAGAGGAGATAATACATTATAACGGCTTGCTTTTTACACACAAAGTGCTTGCCACAAATAAACCACAATACCTTGCTGATTTCGTCAAGGAGCATAAACCCTCACGTAAACTCCGGTCATCCTCACAGCAGCGCCTTTTGGCTAACCATGAAACAAAGATGATCACTCGCATTGCGCACTTTCAGATGCGCTTCTGCGGCCGTCTGGAATGCTCTTCTTAACCGATATTAGAAAGCCACTGGAGCTATGCACTTTTAAATCATCTAGATTGACAAACTCATTTCTTTAGAACTGTTTTTTTCGTTTAGTTTATTGTCCTTCCCCCGCACCTCCCATTAGTATGGTTGGCTACATCCGGTACGAAATAAGTTCAACATACGTACATTTGGTGTTTGAGCATCTTAACACATCCTATATTCTTGCTGGAGAGGGTAAAGCCAATCATTTGTTCATCATCTTGATACTGCCATAAAA